CCCTCTCTGGGCTTAACTCGTGAATAGGAGCCCTCTCTGGGCTTAATTTAGGAACAGGAGCCCTCTCTGGGCTGAACTTGGGAACAGGGTTTCTCTCTGGGTTTAACTCCGTAGCTGGAGCCGACACTGGAGTGGACTCAGGGGCTGGAGCTAACGGTCTTTTTCTCCTCATATTCCTCCTCTGGTTTGGGGTTAAGGAGCGGGCTGCTGTCAGATGAGGACTTGGGAGGGAATTGGCCGGCGGGCTTGACTGTGGCACGGCCTGCAGGCTTGAGAGTGCAGTGTTTGGTTTTGAAGGGAATAGCAGTGTACCAGGTGTGTCGGTCAGAACACGACAGAGAAGGAAGTGATGAACTTGACTGGTTTAATTGGACAAGTAGGTAAATCTACATCAGAGGGGGGAGCCAACCATAAACTTGCACCTTAAACAATGCCCACGTGAATAGTGGAAGAAGCAACAATGAGTCAATCGGACCTCCAGAGGTTGAATCCAGAGGGATTAAATGAGTCCAAGAAAGGAACAGTCAGTTTTAAGCCCTTAGGAGGGGTGGCGAGCGATTAAACAGGGACTGATAGAGATGCGGGGCATGAGAGGCAAATGGACATTGCAGATATTGAGTAATGTCCTGACTTTAGAGGAGTTTGTGCTGTGTCTTGATCAGATGGAAGTGTAACACATGAATTGTGCTGGTATTTGGTGTGGTTTGATCTGTAACAGACAAGAAGCAGCACTCTAATATAAGTAAGCACATCATCACAGCCTTAATACACAAACTATTGACTCTTCTATACTTATTTTGCTGGATCTGTCTGCTGCTTACGGTGAACCACCAGATTCTCCTGTCAACCCTATTGGAAAATGGGATCTCAGGAACCGCACACCAGTGGTTTGAGTCTTACTTCTCAGATAGGTCCTTCAAGGTATCTTGGAGAGGTGAGGTGTCCAAGTCGCAACATCTAGCTACTGGGGTGCCTCAGGGCTCAGGACTTGGACCACTTCTCTTCTCTATCTACATGGCATCACTAGGTTCTGTCATTCAGAAACATGGATTTTTATATCACTGCTATGCTGATGACACTCAACTCTACCTCTCATTCCATCCTGATGATCCGACGATAGCTGCTTGCATCTCAGTATGTCTAACAGACATTTCTTGTTGAATGACGGACCATCACCTTCAACTCAACCTGGCTAAGACAGAACTGCTTGTGGTTTCAACAAACACATCACTTTATCAAAATTTCACCATCCAGTTAGGCTCATCAACCATAACTCCTTCAAAAACAGCTAGAAACCTTGGAGTTGGAATTGATGATCAGCTGAATTTCTCTGACCACATTGCTAAAACTGCCCGGTTCTGCAGATTTGCTTTATACAACATTAGGAAGAGAGCAGTGGGCAGCCATTTTTTGTTGCGGCGCCCGGGGAGCAGTTGGGGGTTCGGTGCCTTGCTCAAGGACACCTCAGTCGTGGTATTGAAGGTGGGAGAGAGCGCTGTACATTCACTCCCCCTACTTACAATCTCTTCCGGTATGAGACTCGAACCCGCAACCTTTGGGTTACGAGTCCGACTCTCTAGGCCACAACTTCCCCAATAAGTACTGTCACGTAACATTACACAGCCGATAACTGCGTCATACTATATAACAATGAGCATAAATCAGTAAACGTGATAGTATAAACCTTACTCACTCTTATAAGATGCACAAAGCACAATATATATTCGATCTGTGGTGGTAATCAGTGCTATTTCTCTTCCCCAGTACCTGTACCACTGACAAACTGATATCTGCTGCAGCTGATGCAATATGCGATCGCTCCGTGCCGAGTTGCTTCACTTCCGATCTCCTGTGTGCGTCATACTTTCATAATAAAAGTCCCTGTTCTAGTCGTTGCTACAGCGCTCCTAATTCTCGCAGTCGCCTTTTGCTCAGAAAGGCTGGAGGCTTGACGGCGGGCTGGTTCTGAATCGGGGCCGGACACTCTCCAGACACCGGAGGATACCTTTCCTCAAACTCAGCCCAATGGTGTCTGGGAGGTCCACAGGGCGATGGTTGGCCCCGATCCAGAACAGTGAATTCAGCGTTGCGTCATCCAAAGCTGTGATCGCCACAAGCCTGCAGAATTCCTGGGTGAATTCTACGAAGAGGAGATCACTACAGGCGAGGGCGGCAAGTTTTGTGGAGGTTTCCATGATCGCAGGGGAGAAAACAGAAAACAAAACACTTTCAAAAAATTAAAACAAAAACACGTGGAGAAGGGGCGCCTCTTACTGTTTGTCAGTCTAGTGTTCTGTCACGGTGCTGCTGCTGTGTTGGAGCGTGGAGCGAGGAGACCTGGGGGCGTTTACAAAGAACAATCTTTAATTAACAAGAGATACACACATGTAGCAGTGGAATGGACGTAAAACACTAGACCCAGGACAGACTTGGGCTTAAATGCTAGGAACTAAACAAGGAAATGAACAAGAATCAATGAATACAATTAATATGAGGGAGAAACTAGGTCACAGGGAGAACATGGAGCATGTGGGGGAGGAAAACAAACACAAAACAGTCCATGGGCGTGACAGTAACAACAGTGCTATACCTTTAAACACATACAGTTAATATTGTGCTATTTATTCTTTTCCGAAATAAAACAGAATGCAATTCAATCCATAGGTGTTTGACCAGGTTTAGATTTATTTATACTGGACCCCAAGTTACAGCATGCTATAAATTAGTTTACAGCCTGTGAGGGAGCTAAAAGCTTTGTATGTCTACAAAATTATTTCAAAATGTATATTTCATTAGTTAAAAAATTTGTAGGAGTGTAAAAATTTGTAGGAGTGAGTGGTTGGTGAGTCTAGCGTATAAGCTGTTCTTTGACAGTATACAAAATCAAGCTCCTCTATTCTATATAGAAAACACTAGACCCAGGACAGACTTGGGCTTAAATGCTAGGAACTAAACAAGGAAATGAACAAGAATCGATGAATACAATTAATATGAGGGAGAAACTAGGTCACAGGGAGAACATGGAGCATGTGGGGGAGGAAAACAAACACAAAACAGTCCATGGGCGTGACAGTAACAACAGTGCTATACCTTTAAACACATACAGTTAATATTGTGCTATTTATTCTTTTCCGAAATAAAACAGAATGCAATTCAATCCATAGGTGTTTGACCAGGTTTAGATTTATTTATACTGGACCCCAAGTTACAGCATGCTATAAATTAGTTTACAGCCTGTGAGGGAGCGATAAAGCTTTGTATGTCTACAAAATTATTTCAAAATGTATATTTCATTAGTTTAAAAATTTGTAGGAGGGATGCTTGGTTGGTTGGTGAGTCTAGCGTATAAGCTGTTCTTTGACAGTATACAAAATCAAGCTCCTCTATTCTATATATGATTCTACTGTTCCCATTGACAGTATACAGTATATTCTATACAGGATACTGCTCTCCCCATTGACAGCATACAGTCGGGCACACACCCAAGCCAAGCGTTATCCTTTTGATCCACAAAACAGGTAGACAAAACATAAAATGGTTTTCACTGGGTGTGGATACTGCTCATGACACCAGATCTGCATGATTACATTTCTCAGTTCAATAAAGATTTCTTTAGTTTAATAAAGATTGCTCTTTAGACGCTCTCAGACATCAGTGCTCTGCACAGCCGTGGGAAGAACTGCAGAGACATATGAAGCAGTTTAAATAAATTATACTTTGCACAGAAAGTAAAGCAACGCTCCAATTCTGGGTTTTCCCCTCCAGAGGGCGCACAAAGATAAACCATAAAATGATTCATTTAGTACTCCTTAATGCAGGTGCAAAATAGCAAAAATGTAATGCAACTAAAGAAAAACAGGATCAGTACGGATAGTAATTTATTCGGGTTTTAAGAGGAAACCCCTAGCTCAGAAGAAGAGATTCTAGAGACTACAATAATGTAAAACAGTAAGAGGAAAAAAAATGTAAAAAAAGTATTAGCACTGTTGTTTGCTTCTGGCGTGTGATAGAGCGTTTGGACCAGGTTGACATACTTAATAAGCGGATAGTCGCGCTAATGCATGGCTATCTATTTAGCTCTTAAATAATAATCAAGTTCTGTGCGTTTACCCAAAGTTATTTGTTGTCAAAACGCGGGCGGTGAAAAGGGGTATCTGCTTGCTTGAGTCCTGCTAGCTGCAAAGCCAACGCAAGCAGCGGGCAGAGGATTCTGTGCAGTGCTTGGTCTAAAGCCTTCGGCAAATCAAACGATGATTTGTCCAAAAGCCGATTAGTTCTCACTGTTTCCAATTTAAACCTTGATATTCGTATGTTCTCTCATATTTAGGTGAGCATAGGAAACATTTATGACCAATTAAAAAAAGGCAACTTACTAAAGAAATGCTTAGATATTTATTTACATAGTAATTTCAGAGAAAGTGATGCCTATATCTACTGAAAACAAGAATCTAACCGGCAAATAGCGCTCTTTGCATGATGTAACTATTGATTACATTAGAGCTAAAGCAGCCTATAAACTATACAATCTGCAATGAAAAGTTACGTCCTCTATAGCTAAATTTACATTTTGTGGTGCGGTGTCAGAATATAAACAATAAAATCTCTCTCTCTCTCGATTTAGTGACAAACCTGTGAGCCTTTTGTTGAAATGTTAGCCAATAGAGACGGATTACGCCACTAGGCAGCAGTGATATATAAAGGGGGCTTTATAGACGCATTTGTACAGATGAAAAGACATGCTAAAGTATTTTCCGACAGTGAAGCAGATAGCTGATAAAAGGACTTGAAAACACAAACTGAAATGCAAAAAGGAACGTACTTTAAAATAATTCGATTATTCCCGTCGCTTTGTCCGTTTAAAATGGAATATATATTCTGCTAAAACGTCTTAATTTCTTTTTTTTTAGATAATTCGTTGCTCGAATAAATATTATCAAGACAAGAACCACGGTAACTTGCAAAGCCAAGAGGAAAACCTTTGGTACTGACCATTTAACATCATGACAAGGTTTAACTTTTTATTGTGTTTAACGATTCTTATTTCTTTGGGACTGTCCGGGAGCGATGAGCCGGACCTCTTTCAGGCTCCACTGAGTGAGATGTCCTCGGATGCTGGAGTCTCTCTCTTTGATCTGGAGGATGTGGACTCTTCTGAGTGTTCCGCGTGCGTTTGGAGAGAACAGAGTAAAGTCTTACGGCTGGAAACAATCAAATCACAAATCCTTAGCAAACTGCGCTTAAAACAAGCGCCCAACATCAGCAGAGAGGTGGTTAATCAACTTCTTCCCAAAGCACCTCCGCTGCAGCAGCTTCTGGACCATCACGACTTCCAGGGGGACGCATCCTCCCTAGAGGATTTCATGGACGCCGATGAGTATCACGCCACTACCGAGTCCGTCATCACCATGGCCTCAGAGCGTGAGTTACAAAACTTTTCACATTTGTTTAGTTGTTTAATAAATTATGCTTAAGCTAATGTTCCTTGCACCCTCCAAAAGCAGTTACACATCTATTAAATGTTTAGTGGCAAATGACCGTTTATGTAGGCCTGTTACTAGATTTGGTATAGTAACAATTGCATAAGGTTGATCATAAATGTCAGCATTTTAATGCCACACACACACACACACACACACACACACACACACACGGCTAATGTAAATCTAAATCTAAATGGGGACATTCCATAGGCGTAATGGTTTTTATACTGTACAAACTGTATTTTCTATCGCCCTACACCAACCCTACGCCTAAACCTACCCCTCACAGGAAACTTTCTGCATTTTTACAATAAAAAAAAAAACGTTGTTTACTTTATTTTTATACCAATTTTACAAATGAGGACGTCCCCAAAGGGAGGTTTTTGGAGATTTTGTCAGGTTTAGCTCACTTTTGGGTACAAACTTGTCCCCAAAATATGGTTAAGTAGGTACACGCACGCACGCACGCACGCACACACACATATTTATTAGCCTACAATAAAAAACGTATGAGCTACCACTAACCATTTAGAATTTAAAAGCTGCCTTCACTTGGTTGCGCCCATGCCCGTTTACCTGTAATAAATGAATAAGGACAATTAAAAATAAAAAAAGGCAGATGCGCTCAATGTAGCTTCCGAGTACATTATATTATGTAAAAAAAAAAAAGAGCAGTATTTCAGATGATTAATAGAGAGTGGTATTATAAATGATGAGCATTAAAGCAGTTGCCAAAGAACCGTCTTGCACAAGCAGGCTTTGTTGCCGTTAGTCTCTGCTAGAAAAAGTGTCCAAAAACACTATTGTTTCCCCACAGCAGCAGTGCCTTACGACTGCACTTGCCTTTAAATGTGAAGTTTATAGGCATAGGACGTTTTTTCACTTGAGTGTGGATACAAAGCCCATGGAGGAGTTTGGGTCGAGGGGAGTGTGTGACCTTTTCGCTGAGAATAGCCGGGGTTCAACAACATTTACACACATAATGTATTCCGCACAAGGCAGATGAAAAGCCGAGCAAATAATCCGTTTTTTTTCCTGACCAGAGTGAACAAAGATAGGTTTGTGTTCCCCTAACTAACCTCTGCGTTGATTGTCACACAGCCCACGTTCCCGCTGGCATAATGAACGCGCTTTACATTCAAGTGACGAATCACATAAATGATCATTTAACGGCTGCAAAGCTCATGGATTGCTTTTAAAAATAGTTTTTGTTGTTGTTGTAGATTGTTGTTGTAGCAGTGCAGTATGAGAACAGCATGAAAAAATTAATTATAAGTAATTTTGACCATCACGGTACAACGAGTGCATTTACTCATGTATTAAACAGCAACTATTTATTTATTTATTTATTTGAAATGTAACTTTAAAACATTTCAAGATGGTAGAGAAGTTTCATGTAATTAGTCACATTTATGTTCTTTTTGTGATACATCCCTTTTCAAATACTCCTTTGAGTTTATTCAGTGGGCTCTCATTTTATTCTATTCTATTTAAGCTACTGATGAATTCAAGTAAAATTCAATTGGAACTACGAGATAGTCTTTTAAATTCCTTTCAACTTGACATAAAAGGAGTAGAATTTCTAAAATGTCTTTCAATTATTTGAATCACTTAAAATAATGAACTTGTATCAATAAAAAATGCCAATGAAAAATACTTGTTTTACGTTATATATAATATCCATTTTAAAGGTTAAATTATTACAATAAAAATTAAACCATTACTCTATTGTTCCAAGATATTTACAATGTTGTTTCTTTGCAGTTTTCATTTATTTTATCTTTACTTTTACTTTTTAATTTTTTAAAATAATTTTCAGTAATCCTTGTTTCTTTAGCTTCCTTCTCCCATCACTGCATCCATGATCATCTCCCATTCTCGTTCTTTATCACACAAGCAGTTAGTTCTGGCTAATAAAAGCAAATGCTTGTGACATTAAATGCAATCCCACAAAAACAAAACTCTTTTTCACCAAAAAAAATGTATTTCTCTCCTTATACCCCTTTATGTACATTATGCACATTACTAGTAGCTGACTAATAAACTAGCCCAAATAAAGATCAAATGTACACAATATTGTAAAATACATTACTTAACACATTGCTGCTCTAGCACGGAATGGCAATGGAATGGAAAGTGTCTTGAAGTATTTTCCCACTATTACCAGCTTATATTTTGTGTGTTAGATTTAAAGGTGGATCTTATGTTTAGATGTTGCACTGGTATGTTTTGTTCTGCCTCTGTTCTGAATTTGGCTGTGTATGTGTACAGGCTAGAGTAGAAAATCAACCATTAGAACTCATTTGTCACCAGTCTATATATTTAGACCAGACCTTCCTCCCTTGTCAATGTGCTTTCGTAACAGCCTGTGGTTTTTGTTTTTTTGTCAGTAATTTGTCAGCTTACACCCTCACCTCCCTCCCACACAATGACCCACCTCCCTACTGACTTGTTTAACTTAACCACCAAACTGTGCTAAATGCTAGGAGAAGACAGTAGAAATAAAAAATGTAGGGCTCTCATTGTTATGAGAGGTTGAATTATCTGAGATATATAATTTGCCATAACTTCTCTTTTTGTTCCCCAAAAATTGTACTCTGCAGTGCACTCCCATAGAAACACACATTCATCAAGTCAGAGAGGAAAGGCCTCCTATTGACAAGAAGGGTCAGAGAGTTCACTGCAATGTGCATCCATATATTGGATGAGGAGCCAATTAACCTCTTCAGGTCTTTTTCTTTGCCCGCAAAAGATAGCTAGTAGATTAAACACTACTACCCCCCACCTAAAATGTCAAACAGGACGGGTAGGAGATTAAACAACACTACAAGCACTGCCTCCCCCACCTAAAATGTCTCTTTCTCTCTCTCACAAAAAGTCACATACACACATACACACATTCACAAACACCAACCCACTAACCACTCCCAACTAGAAAAAAAACCAAAGGTCTTTTATTGTGTTGACCCTATAAAAGGGTAATTTCCTGAAGGTGCAGGAACCATAAACATTAGAAGAGAGAATGCTAAAAAGACAAGACGGTTGTCCAACCATCCACTGATCAATGGGAAGTGTGTGTGGGAAGTTTTTTAGTATTAATTCACTGTGTGAACACCTGTGTCTTAGACTACTCTAATTCTTTCCTGTTCATCTGAAAGAGTGAAAGAGGAATAAAATAGAGGAAAGCAAACTCAACATGTTTTGTCACCATGAAATAAAAAGTGAAGTAATTAAAGAACAGAAGTGTTGTAGAAATACCACTTCATGTAGTCCATTTTTTGGCTAATAAACTTTCAATGGAACTGAAGTCCACTATACCCTGGGTACAGTTTCACTGCTCTCTCAAGAATGCCTCTCTTTCTTTCTTTCTTTCTCTCGTTCTCTTTTCTCTTCCCACGGTTCAATGCTTCCCCTCCCATTCTGGAGCAATTCCAGACCCAGATAAGCAGGTAGGCCTACTGAAGTCATCAACATGTAACAAATAAAATTGCAAATCTCAAACATGTAAATATAAGTGAAAACTTTAACCTGAAAATATTTAATGACTGCTTTGTAAGGATCTCTCTGGAGTTATATATACTGTTATGAGTATAGTCTCAGTTCAGTCTCTTACTGTATCTATCCTTTCCCTCAGTCAAACTACATTCAGTGGCAATATATAAATGTTGCACACAGAACATGTTGCGCATGAACATGGTCAATAATTTCATGATGATGAAACTGAGGTTTTATTATGTTGACATTTGAAGAAATGTTTTATAATTTCATTATACATTTATGTTTCTTTGGGATTGTTGAGGAGAAGAACATGTTTGCCTGGTAATTTGCAGCCAGCAATCATAGTCAAATAAAAAAAATGAAGCTGTATCTGAAATCTACTTTGGAATTTCCCCACACTGTCACTCAGTCTTTTTTTTTTTTTTTTTTTTTTTTAAAGAAACCAAGATCTTGGATCAAGATCATGGTTTATAAAGCAAAACATGTTACCTCTCACTGATAGAGTGAGTGACTACTCCAGGTAGATCAGTGATTGACAAGGGGAAGAAACTGTTAGAATGAAAAGATTGAACATAGTAAAACTACTGACTACAAACATGGATGAATTAAGTCATTAGGCCAATTAATACAAAATAGTAATGTAATCAAGTGCAAAAAAACAGGTACCTTTCCCTTATCAGCCATTATGAGCCCAGATTACTCAGGAAGATATTAATAAATAAATAACAATGAAATAATTCATGCATATAGCAGACATTTTTATACAAAGCGACTTACAGTGCATTCAGGTTACACATCTTTTTTTTACCAGTATGTGTGTTCCCTGTGAATTGAACCCACGATCTTTTGTGCTGCTAACACAATGCTGTACCACTGAGCCACAGCAACACATATAATAGTAAGATATCATATAATATTATATTATTATTAATAATATTAAGTACACATAATGCTACAGTAAAGCAATGTTTCACTCGCTCACTCCCATTAAGCATTGCAAATTATGTAGAGTCAGTTTCCCTAGGCTCCCAAACATTCCCTAGACTCTTAAATATTTCTATATGCATAATATGTACATTTTGTAATAAACACAAAATATATTGTTTCAATCTTTAAATCAATAGTGTAATATTTTTCTTGTTTTCAGTGTATAGTATGTATTTCGCAATGTTTCATGAAATTGTAGTTATTTCCCTCATTACATTTCCTCATTTAAATACTTTTTTGTTCCAAATCAAAGTTTGTAATGTTGTCAATCATCTCTGATTGATTTGGTTCATGGCGTGTAACTCTTAAACAAAGACATTTTTAAAAACCTTATGGGAAAAATTAATTGGAAAAATACTTCCAGAGCTAAGGCCACTGAAAAAGAGGATGGGCACTGTTGCACTCTATTGTGGTGCTAGAGCAACAAACAACCAATCATAAACTGAACAAGCT